GATTATCGGGCAACTTGATCTGTCCCTTTTCAAGCAAGAAATCGAAGAGCTTGTCTGATTTTGTGACATCAAAGTCATAGCTCTCCTCGACTCCTCTTCCCCAAAGATTTGGCACCATTACTGTCTTTTTGCCCCAATTCCATTCAGCCATAGCAACCTCTTCCTCTTCATCTTCATAGCCTTCATCGACTGAGTATGGATTATAAGCTTCGACCACTGTGGTACTCTTCTAGAATCGGGTATCTCTGCGCATACCTGAATTGGCTATTGAGCGCTGCCACTCGTTGAGCCAATTGACCCAAGTTGTCAAATTCTTGTCCCAACAGTTTTTCTTTCCATATTGGCAGCATTCCCTGAATGGCTAAAGCAGCTAGCTGATCATCAGCCAAGTTTAATGAGAAGCATAAGTTCCTAGTCTCTCGAAACCTCTAAAGAAACTCAGTGCTTGATTCATTAGTCTTCTGTCTTATAGTTGTTAGATCAGTAATCTTCTTTTCTCCAGTCCCAGTATAAAAATATGTACAAAATTTCTTTTACAGATCAGCCCAATTGACAATGGAGTTGACTGGCAGTGATGAAAACTAAGTGAAGGCTAGTCCTAATAGAGACAAGGAGAAGAAACGAACTCGATGGGCCTCCTCAACTGATGCCTCACCCAATTATGTAAGATACCGACTGATATACTCTATTGTGCTTGTACTGTCTTGGCCAGTGAACTTAGCAAACTCTGGAAGCCTGTAATTTGCAGGAAGAGCCACCAAATCATACCATTCTGGATATAGGCATTTGTATGAATAGGTCAGCCCTTTTGGCTTCAGACCGAACTGATTCTTCATCATCTCGGTCACCTTTAGCAACAACTCGTCAACATGTGAATTCGGATTTCCCTACACCTGCTGACCCATCTGTGGATTGAAATCCCGTGTGCCTTGATACCCTGGATTCAGAATCATATGAAGGGTGTTATAATCTATGCCATAATGATACCCTTGTGAAATCTCTATCTGCTGGGTCCTTTGCTGGTTTGTTGCTTGAAGTCTCTGGTTATAGACATGAGGATCTATATCTCTACGGATCCTTTGAATTGATGGTGCTATTTTTTGAGCCGACGACGGTATGTGGCCTAATGTGCCAAAATTAATCACCTGTTTCTGACCTTGCCCCACCGGTTGTTGCACATGCTGTACTGACGGTCTAGGATTATACTGTATCTGATTCGTAGTAGTACCTTGAGCTTGTTCAAACGAACTCTAAACTGCCTGGACATCATCATTACCAGCTGGTGCTGCTTCTTGATGGCTGGTACCGACTTGATTAGTCCCTTGGGTCGATGGATGTGGAATGTTATAATAAGTCGGCCCAACTTGACCAACTAGAAACCCATGAATCGCCTCTTTCATGGCGTTGTGGAATGTATCCAAGAAAGCTTCATTATGGTTTGATGTGGCATCGTGAACAGATTTGTTTACAATTTCCTTAAAAAAGGGCTGTCTTCAGCTTCAACTGTATCTGTCTGCCTGTGTGATAGAACTCTTGGTAGTGGATATTTCTGAACAATTGTGTTGTCACGTGTTTTGGTGTAGGACAACACACACTTGTTCTGAAATTCTTCTATAGCTTTGCCGATGACATCTTTATCTCCATCAGGTAGATCTTCATAATATACCATAAGGATGTCGTTGTTGTTGTGAACCGCCATGATGATTGTGGGGTCCCACCGGGCGTGCCAAGAACATGTGTCGGCATGAAATTTCGTCCCGTGCCGAGGGCACACGAGCAAGCTGGAAGGGTCCGCTCGATGGAGCTGGAGATCCGCCTAGCTTCAGCGCAGGGATGGTCGATCCTGTGCACTCCTCCCGAGACATGCCAGTCAATTTGACCCTGCAATTGACAAGGAGAGAAAGCTAATCAGTAATTTAAGACAGAACATGCTGGTATTTCCAGACAGTCCCGAATATGCGGCTCTGAGAGTCGATATGGAAGGAAATCGACTAAATAGTCGATTCCAGCATATTCATAAGAATAAATCAGTTAAAGCTCATGGAATCATGGAAGGTAAATCGGTTATCGCTTAGGATAAATCTCGTTATTCAGACAAACATTAGTCACTGGCAAAAGGATGTCAATAATGATTAATTTATGCTAAGCCAATGACTGCAAGTAACCGAATCCCTTTTCATATAAAAGAAACAGCTCATCATCATTTAACCATTTTATAAAGATAAATCTAATGAACATATTAGATCTCATCTATCGCTATGACCAGTGGGGCATGAGGTAGAATCATGCAGGCCGTAGAAACAACAATAGACTTAACGACCCTAACTTATTACTAATATCAGTGGAGCATGAGGCAGAATCATGCAGGCCGTAATACAATAATAAGATCATGGGGCTAACACATCTTTCAATCTATCTTTATTTCAACGGTCTCGTGACGTGAACTGTTCGTGAAAGCACTCGATATCGGCTAAAACAGTCGATTCAGGCATAGCGCACAGTGAAGGTCATGCCCTATCAGGAACAGATCTACCAAATAACGATCCCCACTCCACGGTGCTAATAGTGGGGTGTGAGGCAGAATCACACAGGTCGTGATAACGGGCCATGGAACGGTTTTCACTAGCCAATAAATCTACTCAAGACAAAACATGCCTTAACCGCACACTATACACGATCAAGATTGACATAAAACGGCCGATAAAACATAACTCATTGTTTAAGATGCAGATTATATCAAATTTAGATTAACAAATGATGGGTTAAAAAAGATATAAGGCCGATCTAGATCAATCCTAATCAGGCGAGGTGATATTGCTGTAATTAAATAAATAATGGAAGCAATAAGCAATATCGGTAACTTAATGAATCTATCCAAAGGAACACCACCCTTAGATAGAGCCGATAACTTGACCTTAATCTAGTTCGAGCAGTGGAGGTCGACCGGATCGATGCAGCCGTACTTGAACTAGACAAGAGTCGATAACTAGCTTATACCAGAATCACAGTGGAGATCGACCGGATCGATGCAGCCGTACGAACAGAAATATAAGCCATGACGGTACTTACAGACAAGCGGTGGAGGTCGACCGAATTGCTGCAGTCGTACTTGCTAAAGAACTTGCCGAGATCTACTCTACTCCTACTCCTAAGGGGTGGCCGGAGCCAAAAAAGTAAGTAACTTATATTTGATTGATTGTGTGTTCTTTACAATAGCCGGGGTCCAATATTTATACCCGAAACCTATGCATGAATCCTACTTAAGCACGACTCAATACAATTTCTTGGCCTAAGAGAAAACATTCCTAATTTAAGATAACTTGGACTCTAATCTTTCCCTTTTTGTAGAGTCCAACATGCTTTGTCCCGGCGCCGATCGTAGCCTTTGTCGTTATCTGCTGGCGCTATTTGAAGAAAGCTGATTCCAGTGTTGCATTCGAATCAGCTGATACCGATCTGTACGCAATTGATTCCTTGATGACATGATCTTGGGAGCTTTCGAGTTCCTGTGATTGTTCTTCCAAATTTTGGTGCAAACATCCACTTAGAAGCAAATAATGTGCCTTGAATCATTTAGAATGATTAGAGATTCCAAATGGTCAAATAGCTCAAGTATGAACATTAAATATGTCAGCGAAAGTCGAGGTGTCACTAACGATTAACAAAGAGTAACATGCACTACACTATAGGAAACTATAAAATATAGCTGTGAAATATTATTCCTTCACTATCAGGCAAAGCAAACATCCTAAGTACCCCTAGGTTTCAGAAATGGTAATAGTCACCACCGAGGCGCAGTCAAATCAAAAGCAATGACACAATCCGCCAAGGAAAGCAATTTAAGTCAATGAAATAGAAAATGCATCTGGTAGTATCAGTTCTTGTTCTACATTTGCTTGAAAAGTTTGCTTGGGCCTTCTCTGTTGGTGTTGTAAGTGAGATTAACCTATGTCCCTCACATGATGAGGATGCTCTGCCCTAAAAATTTTTAAATGCTTGTTACTTTGGTTCCTTTGCAATGGATCTGGGCCAAGGTTTGGCCCTGGAACTATAAAATAAAAACAGAAGACATGTACCTTGGTTATCACGTAGACATCCACGTTGCTTCCACTACCCAAGTCATTGAAGATACCTGCGCATATTGCTTCCAACGCTAGTTGTATTCCCTCTTCCCTCTAGAATATATAATATTGATATTTTCATGACATGTACCTGTTTAGTACCTATAGGCAGCATATCAGCCATAGCGGCCTCACTATAGGCAGCATATCAGCCATAGTGGCCTCACTAATAGCATATCAGCCATCATCCTTCCATGCATTTTGGTGCAAAAGAGCAATGGGCAGTGGGATAGGCCTAGCGGTCCATTCAGCGTTCACAAAGATGTTAAGCCAACTATCCTGCAATGGTTCAAAGAATTGCAATTCCTGACTCATATGCATCCAATCTGAAGCGTGGTGTGAATCTGCTGCAAAAGAAAAATTTTGGACTAAAAAGTTATGATTATCACATCTTTATGGAAAGGTTGCTCCCTATAGTGTTTCATGGGTTTTTGCCAGATAATGTGTGGCGTTGTTTGGCTGAGCTTAGTTTCTTCTATCGGCAATTGTGTGCCAAAGAGCTTAGAAAAGATGTTATCCGCTCTCTAGAGGAGAATGTTGTAGTGCTTCTTTGCAAAATGGAGAAGATATTTCCTCCTAGTTTCTTCAATGTTATGCAACATCTCATCATACATCTGCCTTATGAAGCACGATTAGGTGGTCCTATCCTAGCATGTTGGTGCTATCCATATGAGAGGTAAATCTAGAAATATTCAAATAACTAGTTTATTTATGTCACTAACCGTAAGTTAGATATTTGTAGTACGTTGCTCTCACTTCTTAGGTGTATCCAAAAACTTAGGAAAAAAGTAAGAAATAAGGCTCATGTTGAGGCTGGCATTGTTGAGGCATTTCTTGTTGAAGAGGATGCAAATACACTAAGTCTATATTTTAGACCCCATGCTCCATCTATTAGAAATAAGGTGCCTCGCTATGATGATTGTGCATCTTCATTTCAAGGTACATGTGACCTTGACATTTTTAAATGCTTGGGTCGTTGCATGAGCCCTAGAGGTGTTCATGAACTCTCAAACAATGAGTACAAGGTTGCTTTTCTATACATATTGACAAACATGCCGGAGATGGATGCTTTCTTCACGTATGTTCTGTCAAAAATGTCATTACTGTTCTGTTATAGATTTTTTATTATCTAGGCATAACAAGAATTTTGTTCATGTAGACACTTTGATAATGAATAGTGGAAGAGCCGTATAGCTCCCACAGACCAGCAACGTCGTGATTTAAGGTTAAATGGTTGGAAAAATAGTCGTGGTATACAATCTGGTCCAAATTTTTTTGATTGGTTCAAAGAGCAAGTAATTTTCTCATACACTTCAGCCTTTGTTTTGTTCCAACATTGTGAATTATGATAAAAAAAACTTATCACATAATTTGTGTTTTTTCAGTGCTTGAAAACAACTATCATTCACAATGCTCTGTTCCAAATGTCCTATGGTTACTGCCCTCCAGTTAGGTCCTATGGGTGTTATGATGTCAATGGCTATAGATTTCGTTCAAAGAAATATGAGAGTGGAAGAGTAGGGCTAACAACTATCAATAGTGGTGTTTGTGTAACTTCTTTTGATGAATCAGACAATGCTCTAGAGTATTATGGAATCATAGAAGATATAATTAAAATTGAGTGGGAAGACGGCATGAAACTAGAGTTGGTGTTGTTTTATTGCTCTTGGTTTGATCCAACACCCAATGGATTGAGGCGTATTGAAGATCTAGGCTTGGTAGAGATCAATCATACATTAAGATTATCAAATTTTGACCCATTTGTGATGGCTAGTCAGGTTACTCAAGTGTACTATCTGTTATACCCGTATAAGAACAGAGAGTTGTCTTCATGGTGGGTTGTCTACCATGTTGCTCCACATGGATGTGTGCCTATGAATGAAAGCAGTAGTACTCAAGTGTACTATCTGTCATACCCGTATAAGAACAGAGAGTTGTCTTCATGGTGGGTTGTCTACCATGTTGCTCCACATGGATGTGTGCCTATGAATGAAAGCAGTAGTGAAGCTATGAATATGGAAGGGGTAATGTAGGATGTCTACCAAGCGGATGGTTTGGATGGCGCCTTTGTCATTGATTTGAGTGATGCCTTGGACTCCATAATTGCAACGGGATCAGATGAGGTTACTAACCCAAAAGACTTGGAAGCAATACAGAAACAAGTTGTTCTGGATGAGGAATATGATGAAGAAGCTATTGAAGAAGAGGAAGAGACGGAAGAGGATGATGAAGCAATGGATGAAGAAGATGAAGAAACTTATGATCCAAATGATTTTTGAATATGCAGTCCAAAATATATGTTTTAGTTATGCTATTTGTTATGCATAAGATCCAATGTAACTATTTTTGAATATGCAGCCAACAGTCCAGTATTATTAATATATCAGTTTGCATGTGTGCTTCAGTATTACTAAATCTAAATTCATGTTGTTTTCTCTCCAATCCTTTATCTAATGCAATATGCAGTCTAAAATATATTTGAATATATGCAGTCCAATATTTTTTGTGAATGTGTAGCCAGCAGTCCATAATTATTAATATAGCAGTTTTCATGTTTGCTGCCCCTCCAATAATTTGTTGTCTGATGCACTATTTGTTTTAAGATGGATCTAACATATTGTATCTACTGCAGATGGTCAGTACACGCAACAAACGTGTACCCAGTTTTCGTGCAGCCGAAAGGAATGATGGTTCTGAAAGTGCAGGCGGTTCCATGGTCCATTCCATTCGACACACATGTCGTGTAGCCAACAGCAGTGCAGCCCAAACAAATGAAGGTTCTGGAACTGCAAGCGATGCCTCACAAAGGACAATAGTTGTTGAAGCTCCCCTAATAGAGCCACCCAAGAAAAGAGGAAAGAAGGCAAGGTCCCGAACAAAATTTAAACAACCTCCACATGGTGTTAAAGTGGCTCTTAAACTAAGTAGTGACGAGTGAGTGCATTTCTTGCTTGATTCTTTGTTGGCTCCTGATCTTTGGTGCTAGTAATTTGTTAGCTTGATTCTTCTTTGCATACAATCTATCATTGTCTCAGTTAAGTGTGCAGTTTTTTTGTATCTACTAGCAGCTGCACATGATGTCCTTTTACTAGCATATGCACATAATCCTTGCAGCCAACCTTTTGTGCTGACCTGTTACTATATAATATATATTTATAGGCAATTCAGTTATATTTACTATCCGCCACCTTACAAATACACTACTCAGCTTGGGGTCATACTTAGAAGAGAATATCCAGGTGTGATGGTGGAGGTGGATGAGAATGGTGATGAATTCAAGCGCCCAGCTCTGGATTGGGCTGATTATTTTCATAAAAATCCTAAGGCTACGGAAATGACAAGGGGAGAAAAAGTGGTTTCCGAATTTTGGGTAAGATACCTATGTTCAATCTGAAATTTCTGAGCAACATCTAAAACTTGAAATTTCTAAAATCTATTCAATGTGAAACCAATGTTCATGGTTTTGTACACATGCAGCGTTTGTTCCAAGTTGCAGCAGGAGATCAGCAAGATGCGGACTATGTTCTAGAAGCTTGTTTGAAGAAAAGGGTGAGGAACATGATGTATCAAGTCCATGTGGATGCTGTCAAGGAGTACTACAAGGAAATAAAACACATAGAAATCAAAGATGCAGTAGCGTGCCATATTGACCTCGAGTAAGAGCAATACAAGCAAGGAAAGCTCGAGTCATTGAATGATGAGGTGTGGCTCCTCCTTTGTGCTTATTTGTGCTCAGATGAGTACAAGGTCAAACGTAAGAGGGGGTAAACATCTCGCTCAAGTAATGAAGATATTGCTCAAACCCGAGGAGGATCTAGACCATTCACAAAGACACAATAAATATTGGTATGCATGTGTATATTCTTTATTCTTTAATGTATTTTTAGGAACTTAGTAGCCTATTGTATATTCATATCTCATTGAAAAATTTACTATTTTTAGGAAGCTAACTTTGGACCACAGAAAGCAACCCCTATTAATACATTTGCTGCGATGAAATCTGGCATGAAAAGCCTAGATAGCAATGGTAGATGTGGTCCAATCAGTAGCCACAAAGCACAGAAACTCATGGTATGTATGTGACATGTGTGCTGAAAATTTCTGCTTGTATAGTTCTAGTATGTATACTACTTCGAGTACTTACATGACGTCTTTTGTGGAACTTCTTAATACAAAAGTTGTAGATAATTTAAGTATATTCACTGTTCTAAAATTTCATGACTTCAGGTCATTAGGTTTGGGAGTTACAATATTTTGAAGTTTCCTGTCAGCTTATGTTCATATCTGTACAGAAATGCTTCTTTGTGCTTTTTCACCCCGTTAACTTAAGAATCAGGTCTATGTTATAACTAGAAAGATGTGGAGAACTTCTTAAACTTTCCAAAATATTAAAGAACATATTTTTGTGTGATCTAGAACTCTAGTTATGATTTATTTAAGTGACTTTCTTGCTGATGTCCAAAAATTTCAGAATACAACGTTACCACGTTTTGGCTATCTGTAAATCTATAGAACATGTTTCATTATTTTGGTCTTTGTAGGATGACTACCTTGCTGCTGTTAAGAGGATAGAATGTGCAAACGAAGAGGATGGAGACGGTGCAGACATGGAAGTGGATGAGCATGAGGTTGAGCAATAACAATATTTGAATGGAAAGGCGCTATATGATGTGTCTAGTGGTGCCCCGAGAAAGCATGGGCGTCTTGCCATAGCAAATGGTGCGGTTAAGTCTTTAGATGTCAGGGCAGCCGGAAGGGAAAGAAGTGTGCGTCCATCAAATTCAGTGACTATGCAAAACATGTCTCGAGAAATGGAAGAGCTACGTCGTGCAAATGGAAGGCTGGAACGAGAGAATAGTGAAAAGGACAACGCACTGCAGCAAAACAAAGTTCTTGTAGGCTTGGTACTAGTATGTGCAATGCTCTTGTAAATAATTCACCAATATTATATGTGAATTATCTAATGATTTGAATCTGAAATATCCGTGCTTGCAATACACTTGTAGAACCTTTACCAGGAGAAAGGAAGGGTTGTACCAGAAGAAGTGTTACGGTACTTGTCTGCTACGCAAGCAATTGTGAGTATATCTTCATTCCACTATCAACATGTTTTGTAGCTGTCGAATCCATCACTTAGAGATTTTAATATGGAAAGGAAGTAGAAACTTATTAGTATTTTATGGGGTACTATTCAGAATGTCAACACACAGTGCAACAATGAGGAAGTGGCCTCATGTTGATTGTTGTATAGCTACTGGTGTGAATTTGCATGGCTATTGCAGTGAGGAAGTGGCCTTATGTTGGTTTGTAATGTTTCACACCTTGAAAACCAGCAGTTTGAATACTTTAAACATTATCCAATTCCACTTACTATTGTAACCTTATCCAATTTAGAGGCTTTGATAAAAGTGTTATATTGTTGGGAGACAATTTCATTTACTGTAACTTTGTTCACATTCAGGCAACTGGGTCTTCTCATGCTGCCTCAGAATCTGTCAACAATGGTAATGATGTTGGCCACACCAATGGGGATCTTCATGCTGCAAACGTTGACAACAATCAAGGTTCCGACAACAATGGCGATCATGCATCGATAATGTGATGGTTGTGTTTAGTTGCAAAAGATGGATGTGATGGTGGTTTCTTCTTTGGTAGAGTCGTGCTTTTGCACATTAACTAGTAGGTGGCTCTAATATGTTAGCTTTAGTTTTAGCTATAATATGACTCAATGATGCAAGCTGGTACTTTACTCATCTTGACTGAAACTTGAACCGCTGAGTTGAGATGGTAATGCTTTTGAATGTATTGATGCCGGACCATTTGGACATCATCTATATGTAGCTCGGATGCCATTAATGAATGTGTTGAATATTTGGATCTTTATATGTATGATATCTATTATGTTGTGATGAAATTACAGTATGGACAGTCCATATTTAATATGTTGTTGCTACTGTTCTGTTTCTATATAATTATTGTATCCAATTTGTTGCATGGTTAAGTGTTTTTTCTGTCGATGGTCTATTATTTTTCTGTGCGTTAACCGAGACCGACAGAAAAATAAATTTTTTCCAGTGAGTGTACCTCTACGACTCTATCGGGACAACATCGACAGAAAAATCATTTTTCTGTCAGGTTTTCCTTTTTCTGTGAGGATTAACGCACACAATATTTAAATTTAATCTGGTGTAACGCAATTTTTCTGTGCGTGTAACACCCACAGAAAAATTGTTTCTGACGGCGAACACACAGAACAATTGAATTTTTCTGTCATTATATTTCCGTGTGTATTTTTCTGAGGGTACACCGTCAGAAAAATATTTTCTGACGGTATTCGTATTTTTCTGTGTGTTTTCGCACACACAGAAGCATGCGAGTTTCGAGTAGTGTTAGTTGAAGCTGAAGCCAAATGAAGTTGTTCCACGAGAAAAGATAGAACTGGAGCCATTTTGGCTGGAGCTGGAGTTCTACAAAATGGGCCCTAAGTACAATGAAAATGGCTATGATAACTTACATTTATGATAAGAGATGAAGTAACTTTCTTTCTAATAACTGACATGTATGGTGTAATTTTCTTCTTATTTGTATCAAGGTGCTTTGAGTAAACTGACACACCTAAATTAAAATTATTGCATGTGTAAACTATGTAGAGGGAAATGAAGATAATTGGAGAGGCATGGAAACTCATACAGCCAAATTAAATTTTTGTGCAATTTGGACATTATTCTTCATGGATATTAGGATAATTGTTTATCTAAGTGAGCTACTTTATTCCTTGTAACTACATATGATCTTATTAGGGCATGGAATAACTTCCTATAGTAGTAATATCTGAAAAAAAAGTAAACTCCAAATAATTTCAACAACAATTTGGAAATGATGGCAGCCAGGGGGGGTGTTATGTAGACGGTACTCTCCATTCCAAATTACAGTCTAAATCAAACTTCCTTGACTTTGACCAAGTCTTGTAAAAAATATTAGGATGTACAAGTTTAAATAAATGCACTATCAGAACTTATTCCATGGAGAACTTAATGATACTAATTAGTTTGGTGTTGTAGACATAGGCAGACTTTTTCAAAAACTTTGTTAGAACTAGAGAAATTTGATTTTGGACAACTCAGGGAGTTCTACCCAAGGCATGGCCCAATGCACCTTGCATGTTGGCCTCACTATCCCTGTATCCAGGGCTGGCCGCAGGGGTATTCCTAGGTACCCATTAGAGAATACCCATAATTTTGGTAAAACAAACAAATATATATTTTAGGTGTTAGCATAT